TAGAAGAGGATTTTTATTCTCGATAGTGGTAAAAGAAGGGAAAAAGTTTCTTTGAAGGAAAGAATAACTTGACAAGCTCTCCCATTCTTGTCTCGTTAAAATTTCCTAAAAAGGAAAGTTTTTCAAATATTTGAGGGGAACGGGAAAGAGTTTTCAGATTTTGAATACTTAAAGTTATATTCTCAAGAAATATATTTATAATATAGTTAAAAAGTTATTTATTGCTACAATATTTTTTTCCTGTAAATATTATTTTTTAATTCTTTACAATTTAATAAATATGTTTACAAATATTTATATGTTAATAAAATTTAAAAAATCAAAAATAAATTTATTTAAATATAATATATCTTGCTACTATTAAAGTACTTTGATTCAATTTTTTTATTTCAAATAATTAGACAACTTATATTTATAAAACAAACATATTGATAATTATATTTTTTATAAGTTCAAATATATTAAGACCAATTTAATTTCAATATATAGCAAATATTCTTTTGTTTAAAATCTTATTATAAATTATTGTTTTTTGATTTTTTTTTATTATTCTTATAAAACAAAAAATAGTATTAACTATAGGTATATAGAAAACCAAAAGATTTTTTTTCTTATAAATTTACTTTTTTTTTATTTTTTTTTTATAATAGTCAAAAACAGAATTTAAAAATATTATTTTTAATATATATACATTATTAAAATATTTTTGAGTTAAGAGATTTTTTTTGATTTATAATATAATTAAATTAATACAGGTTTTAAAAACTTATAAAATTTTAAACTTACAAAATTTTTATTATTTTATTATTATTTTTTCTTATATTGGCAATATCAATTTTCAAAATATCAGTATCAATTTTTATATTATCTTTACAATAATCTAGAAATTTCAAGAAATTTCTTTATCCATTATTCTATTTTTTATTTTGTTATTAATAAATTTAAAAATATATACAAATACTTTTATATATTTATATTTTGGTAAAATTAATAATAGAATCAAAAATAATCAAATAAATATTAGATAAATTATAAATAAATTTATTTAAAAAATATATATTTTTTTATTTTGTTATTAATTTTTTGTAATATAATAAAATATAAGACAGTAATAAAGATTTCCAATTATAAATAAAAAAAATAATTTAATATATATATATTTCTTAAATCCTAAGATATTTTTTTTATAACATTTAAAATTTTTTAACTAAAAAGTTGTCTTTTATTTATTTTTTTAAATATCAAAATATTTTTCTGAAAATTTATATAATAATAGTTTTAATTATATATTATTTATTGATAATATTTATTTTTTATTTATTTAATAAAAATTTAAAGTTTAATTATAAGAAAATTTTTATGTTTTTAAAATAATTTTTTTTAATAAAAGTTGATTTTAAACAAATATAAAATTTTTTAAGTTAATGTTTATATAATTATAATCAATTTTGTAGAATTATTACAATTTTAATAATTTAATTATAAAAATTTTAACTTGTATTAAAAATAAAATAATTTTTTACTTTAAATATACATTAAATTTTAAACATAAAATTTAAAGTTATTTATTTTAAAAATCTTTAATAAAATTTTAATTTTTTATTTAATAAAGTTAATAAAAAAATATCCTATACTATATTTTTTATAATATAAGTAAATTATTAAAATTGATATTTAAAACTTATTAAATTTTTAAATATGCAAGCAAATTTATTTGCATTATAATTTAAGAGATATAATTTATAAAATTCTTTATTTTTCAAATCTTTGAATGTATATATACTCTATATAACTTGAAAATCATTAATAAATTCAATAAGAATATTAAAATCCATATAATAATAATTATAATAACTTAATTATATTCAAAATTAAATTATTATTAGAAACTCTTTTTATTTACCAAATACTTTATTAATCATATTTTAATTAATATTCAAATACTTTATATTCAAGATATAGGTTTTGTATTAAGAATATTTAATATATTTTCAAATATTTCAAGATCTTAAAAAGTTAATCAAATTATTAAAATTATTAATTAAACAATAATCAAAAACCAATCTTACATATATGACAAACCATTGAATTGTTATATGACATTGCAGATCAAATTTTTTTTTATATCTTATCTTGTAAATATAATTATTTCAAATGTATTCAGAGTTTAATATTTTTATTATCAAATTCTACTTTTCTTAATATTGAGTAAGTATTCATAACTGCCATATTAATCATTAACAATTGAAAAAAATTTAATATTCAAAATATTTCTTAACAAAATACAATAATCAATAGTGGAAGTTATCCAGCTGGTTTGTGGCTTGGATTCTGAGTGACGCCAGATTATGTTCATTTTATTATACATGTCAATTCACAATGTAAACTTGAAATAACTAAGAAGTAAAAAATGGTGAAACATTAGATATTGGATTCATAAAAAATGAATCACTCTAATTTATAGATTCTAACGCTAAGCAGAATCGAGTAAAGGAGTTAAAAAAATGGGTGTGCAGCTGTAATCTTTGGGCTTGGAATTTGGGAACCAGAAATAACAGGATAAATTGGATCTTAAAATCTAATTTTTGTACGACTTCGCCGTAGAATATAATAAGCGTAGCATTTACAAAGAATTCTAACACAATGAGTTCGTATCATGACCTTGCAGAAGATGACTATGAGAATTATGAAGAAACGGGTGCATCTGAATGGTTAAGTCAGCGCTTTCGCGCAAACTCTCATTATCAAGCTACCGACAATGTTCCCAGGTCGAAAAATCCTGATGCAGTGTGGACGGTAAGTGCAACCAAGAGGAAGGTTTAATTAATAACAAAAGGTTCACAAGTTATACCGTTATAGCTTCCTGTAGAAATTGACATTCTCAAAATTATTCAAGAAAACAAATTGAAACAAATTGAGGAAACTACTCAAACACATCTGTCTTATAATAAATACGAATCGGTTCGTTTTATTAATATCTGATTGCATTTTTAAAGAAGAATAGCACTCGATATTATGCGATATCCATTCATCACTTTAATTGCAGCAAATTGAACTGTGGGGACCGCGTTCGGGTATAACTCAAGCTATCAAACAATTGCAGTCTATTTCTGATAATATTTCCGAAGTAAGCACGTGTTTCTTATTTTAATTTCGCTGTGGACATCACATTAACTATTAGTTTCAGAAAAATTCAAAGAAGAAGAAAAAAAAAGAAGTGTGGGCCAAGCCAGTTAAGGCATTGACCAAGAGGCAAAAAGAATTAAGGGAACGAAGAGAAAAAAAGGAAAAGGAGGAAAGAGATTATCGAGGTTTACCTGGTCGTCCTTTAGAGTACTCTGCTCATTTTTACCTACACGACTCAGAGATAAGTGTCAATGTGTTCCTCGGTGACAAAGAGGTGGTTCTCCACCCTATTCGTAGCGAATGCAAAAGTTATATTTGGTATGATCCCGGTCAACACGTAAGTTATAGACCACCGTATTTTTTTTACAACACTATAAAGATTATCTTAAAACGGGAATTATCACGCTAGTGTTTTTCGGCATCTAGCGATAATCCTGAATCCGTTGAGAAAGCTATCCTGCGGGCCAGGAATCTATACCTGAAAGTGATTGCGGTAAGGTTCATTCTTCTCACCACTTTCAATTGTCAAGTCAAATTAAGTAAAACCATTCTCAACAAAGTCTCGAAGGATTCCGATTGATGATAAGTGGGATAAGGGCAAAACCCGAGGATGGGTCTTTCATCTAATTGAACCACCCAAGAAGTCCTATAAAGTTAAGCTTTCCAAATTATCGGGTGATTTTGTGCCTCCTCATAATTTGGTAGAAGAAGATTTTCGGGTTTTTGAGCCCATTCTCGACGGAGATGTCATGGCCATTGGGGATGAAGTCAGAAAATCAAAATCAAGAACGAATTTCGAAGCATTGGAAAAGCAAGTTTATAAGAATTTAATTATATCACTACTGTTGACTTCCTTAATATTAATTAAATATTCGATGATTCACTACGTAGTATCTACAATGAAAATGTTATAAAGATAATGGGTGCTCTTGATAATGCATTGGGTACAGTTCATCTATTTGATGAAGAGATTAAAATGCGTATTAGGTAATTAAATTTTTTATCTATAAACTCGGCGCCTTTCTAAATTTGACGGTATGCGATGTTCATTTAGATTTACTATGATTCACTAGGTTTGGTAAAATATGTCTCACGAATTTTCCAAAAGTAAGTGACTGGTCGATTGACCAGTTTAACAAAAAAATTCTGGCTGATGCACGTATAAAATCTAGATTCGCGACATGGTAACGTTTTTCCAATCACCGTCTTCTACATATATTATTTAATTTATCATTATTATCATGTATAACATGCAATAATTAGCCTTGCTACTGATATCACTAAACTCAATCCGGTTATGGAAGCACTCTTGGATAAAGATAAAAAATGTATTGTTGATAAACCTTCTCGAGAATTTAGGATTTTTGCGTCCCGTTCGCAAAAATCTGAAGAGAATAATTGGGAATGCACATTCGATGTGGAATTCAACAGCGAAAATAATGTTACTACAAGGGATGTGAAAAATGACGACAGCATGAAGTCTGGTAACAACAATAAAATTGGATTATGGAATGCAAATACAGATAGGAGGAACGTGACGGAGGTTAACATGGTGAACCTTGACTAGTGAGTAATTAAGTTAAGCTTAACTTTTCTGTTTTTTCGAGCTATTTTACAAATAACAATAAATTTTTTTTCAGTAATCATTGTTGGCAACTTTCTATTCAAACAAGAAAACGCCTTTCTAATGATAAGTTTTCGCCCCAAGGCATATTTGTCCATAAGCTACGATTGGGGTAATAATTTTTTTTTTAAAAAAAAAAAAAAATCGATTTCTGAATGTCTTTTTTCTCAAATAGATTTTAACAATGACCTTTATTTAGTCCCGATGACAACTTAATTTATACAAACACCGATGATGTCCTGGTTACAGCTGTTTGCGAAAAACTGAAGTATAAGTACTGGTGGAAAGAAAAGTATATTGTTGAGATCACAAGATATAAGTATTGGAATTGCTCGGAATTTAATCAAAGAGGAAGTGAAAATGTTATTACCAATGCTCAAGATAACAATATAACATGGGGGGTTACCGTAAGTACCTATTTTTCTTGCATCGCAAATTTCGATGTTCACGCTAAAATATTCTTGTTTACGCTATTAGATATATAAAAAGTTTTGGGAGGATGAATTTGCCGAAAATTGTAATTTGAAAGTTGGCGAAGTACCCAGTTGGTATCCTAAGAAGATCATAGATGACTTCGGTGGAGTTGAAGGTTTGTTAAAGGATGTCGATGAATTTTTGGAAACTATCTTGTGTCGTAAAATGAATGATTGATTACGATTGTTATGATGTAATTTTATATTTGCGTCTTCCATGTTTCCATTAATTGTTTATGAAGAAAAAAATAAAATAAATAATGAAGGGCTATGCATTTTAAATCAATACTTGAAGGTGATCTACCATATTAATTTATTTAAATGTATTTACTCCATATATTGAAAATATTCTTGATTTAAACAATTAAATTATATTAAAAAAAAAAATACAATCAGATTTTTTCTGTTTAATTGGCATAAATTTTTCTAATCGATTAGTTATTTTAAATATAATCAACTAGTTGCAATTAAAAATCTTTAATTTTTTTGAAACACTATACAAAGTGTTAGCAAGTGAAAATGTAGGTGGGACTGGATGGGATGATCATGTGATGGGACGCGATGCATCAAATCACTAATCATGGAGTTAAAATAGCTTATAGCCATTTTAACCCGACATCTATTCAAATACCGTCATGTAGTCTAGGCGAATTAATTTCCATATCATTAACCTGATGAAGATCGAAAGGTATTCATGTACCAATGACATTATTTGATGATACAACTTCAATAATACTATCGACGTCCGTTGGTTCGGTATTAGCAGTAACATTTGTCAGGACATTCCCGTTTAACGGCGTGGTTTCAGTAACATCTATTTAAAAAATGCTCAACCGAGATCAATGGCAAGTTCGATCATGAAAAAATTTCATTTGAATAGACTATATGAACCTTGGGATTGAATAGATGGTTGACAGTCGCTGTGGCTGTCTGCATCTGGAGTTTTCTCGACCTTCTTTCCGGCTTGTTTTTTCAATACCTTGTATCGACGCCAACACTAACAAAACGTAATATATTAAAGAACTGATGATAAAGAAATATTTAAATGACAAATATTAACTTGATTGTCTGTTCGTCCGTCCATGAACGAGGAAATCTTCGACCATTTTCCCAATCCTATACTCTGTACCAAACTCATTAATTTCTCATCCTCCTGGAGTGCCAATGTAAAAGAAAACTGTTAATGCTTGACGATAAGATTGTATCATAAACTATCAAAATATCACCTCATTACTCCATGGGTCCTTCTTTATTTCTGGACTTAATACGTTCATCCATCTCTCGCGACATTGAACATCTGTTCTACCTAGTACATACCGCTGTATCTTGACCCAATTTCCGGGACCGTAAATAGAAACAGCGTTTTTGAGCGCCTATTTACAAGAATATTCATTGATCCAGATTAGTATGCCAGAGCGATTGAATAATTAAGATTATCATGGTATTTACTTCATCGTCTTCTTTTTTCCAGCGTCCACGCCGGATCGCCGGATTTAGCGTCTTCGTCCATCGATGCAAGCATTGTTGCCCCGTCCTGTTGTCGAGACAATGTGCAACTGATGAAATTTAATTTCATTAATAAATAATCGACATAAAGACGTTTAATTAAGAAACCAGATTAACACCTTGTTGCCAATTTTTTTCACCGTATAGATCAACAGCTCGAATTAATATTTCGTCTTCCTCTTTAGACCATTTTCTATAATGGATTAAATAATGTTATGATATGAAAGTTGAAAATTTAGCAAACAGTCAAAAAACAAATACCGAGGATTGGATGATTGTCTATTGTATTGTTTAAAGCATTCAGCAGCAGTTCTATTTGTCTGATAAACACAGAGTTCAATTATCAAGTAAAAGAGATGAATTGTGGCCAAAAAAGATTACATGAAATACTGACGCCCAATTCTAGTGCGATTTTCACCCAGTTTCTAAAATCGTTTTGTTTCGCGACTTCAAGCAATTTTCTAGTCTCCTGTGTAGTCCACTCATTATTATTTATGCAAGGATGACTGTGGTTTGTCCATTGAATAATGCAGTCCTCCTTTGTTTTGGTCGGCACCTGTTGGTAATAAATAATTAAAACAAGTTTCGTATGAAAAGTGAATATTAGAGATTGTAGTATTACGTATTGCTTTGCCAATTGTGACCATTCTACATCTTCGACACTATACAGAAATTGATCCTTTGACATTTTCTCCACAGATGATATCGAACGACCTCTTTTTTTGCAAGAATAAATATTAGTCCTTCGTGGTCCGGAATACAATTAATAGATCAAATGGATTCCAATTCCTACTCCTTGATAGCTCTCAAAGCCTCTCGTTTCATGTTGTGCTCTTGAATTCCTTTTCGAAGCGCTTCTTTTTCATATTGAGTCCCTGTCATAAAACGATCAAATAAGTACATTATAATTTAATGATCGTAAGGAAATTTCAATTTACATCTTGTGCTCTTAAAAACCAGTGGTTGATCGTTGGTCTCATCATCATTCTCAGGTGGAGTCTGTGCAAGAGAATAGATATCAATTAACGGAAGAATAATTGACTACATAAAAATTTAGACAAACTCGCCTACGTTTCCATCTGCGTCAACAAAAAATGGCGGCCCAAACGTTCTTTGTGAAACCGATGAGGTTAGATTAGTTTTCTCCGAAATAAAAGTCTCCTCCTGTCTCAACTGACTAAGACGTGTCTAGAATTCATTTATCAGAAACGAGTTCCACGTAAAGTACAGAAGGAATAATGATCACTCACTTGAAGTGCAGTATTTCTTTGGATCGCAGCATCAATCCCTTCCCTGACTCTGTCTAATTCTGCTTGAAGGAGTCTGTTCAAGTTCAAGGTCTCAAGTACTTGCTGCGGATCGACCTTTTTCAATGACAAATTTTCAGTTTCAAAATTCGTCATGAAGTCGGTAATAGTATTGTCATTAGAAAATGGTTCATAATTAGAGGTGTTGGTGTCATTTATATAATTTTCATTCTCATTTGGGCATTCAGCAAAATTAACGTCTTGCAAGTAGGTGAAGGGTTCCGCTATCGTTTCGTATTCGGACGTGTTCATGCCAAAGCTATAAATAGTACCACACCTGACAAAAATCATTATTTCTAATTTGTTTCCGTGGACGATCTGATTGGCTGTTAATTAAAGTTAACAAACAATGATCGCGTAAGATTTGTGAATTAATTATGATTAGTGAAATATACTTAGTTAATATAATATAAACCTGAAGTATCACGTGAATAACAACCCGATTATTAAATAAAAACGTATTTGATGTGTTGCATGTTATATAAACCTACTGACCATTTTTTCAAATATATTAAAGTCTGGATCATCCATGAATTTGTGTATTGATGGATTCAGTTTCTAGCGATGGGCGGTCTCGATCTCAAGATCGCGAAACCGAGAATAGGCATCGAGGTTATGAAAGTCGAGAGAGAGGCCGAAATGCGCGGAGCCCTTATAGACATTCATCAGAACGTCGACACAATGGCCATTCTCCGGCACGTCGTCATCGGAGAGAAAGTCCTACTTACGAAGACTATGATAACCACCCTCGTTCAAGGCGAGATTCTGAACGGTCGGAACACCGAGATTTCGAACCTCGAAGGCGACATTTCGATTTAGATTCCAGAAGGGGAGAGATGACAAGAAATATTGAGCAGTAAGTTTTTATATTGGACTATTAACTGTGTATTTTGTGGATTTCTAATCTCGTTTGATTCATTTACAGACGCAAAAGAATTCGTCAGGAAAGTACATATTCTATTTGGCCACCTTCTCCCGAAGAACCCCCGAGATCAGAGAGGATCCCTTCTCCCGAAAGCTTCTCCCATAGGAAGAAACGATCCTTAAGCAGTGATTCAGAAAGTCTCTCGGATTCGGTCACAGATTCAGAGCGGGAGTCAAGGAACAAACGACACTCGAAGAAACTGACGCATCGTAAAAAGAAAAAAAAAAAGCAACATAAAAAGCATAAGAAATCGTCAGGATCTCGTAAAAATCGCGCTCATTCGGATAATTCTGATAGTGACAATTATTCCACGGAAAACGAAAGCGAAAAATCTAATGGAAGGAAAGGTAAACATAAAAATCAGGATGAACTAAGTGCAATAGAACTTGATGAAAAAAAATTAGAACAAATGGAAGAACTTTGGGTAGAAAAGAAAGGTATGAATACTTTTCTAAGGCTGTTGAATTTTAGTCCTTCTACCTGAACGTAATTTATTTTAAATAACATTAAGTTGATCTACCCGAGGATCTGTTAAATGTCGGCCCCATGCCTTTATCCGTGAACGAGAACAAACTTGGAGAAAGAGAGTATGTCTTTTGAAAAAAGTTAGATCATGAAAACCCTCTTTATTGAATCACACGATCTTTTTTTTTTTTTTTTTTTTCTAGTTATGGTGGAGCTTTACTGGCCGGTGAAGGTTCAGCCATGGCAGCATATGTACAGGAGGGCAAGCGTATCCCAAGACGTGGTGAAATCGGTCTTACCAGCAACGAAATTCAATCTTTTGAAGATGTGGGTTACGTCATGAGCGGAAGCCGGTACGTTTCCAACATATATTTTTGTCTTCGTGTAAAGTGATCGAAAATAAAATATATGCAAATAAAAAAAAAATCTAGTCACCGACGTATGAATGCAGTACGTATTCGCAAAGAGAATCAAGTTATTTCTGCAGAAGAGAAGCGTGCTTTGATGTTATATAAGTATGTGATGATAGTGATTTTCAAGTGCTATTTCTTATCATGGACTTATGTACTCGTTGATATTAACAAATCAATTCTATAGCCAAGAAGAAAAGGCAAAAAAAGAGAACAAGATTATTTCAGATTTCAGAGAGTTGGTAGCAGACAAAATGAAAGGGAAACAATAATGATCTCAATTCATAGCAACATCTCACGATTAACCATTGCAAATTTGCCATTTAAAATATTGTCTATTATTTCATTTTAAGGAAATTCTAGTCTTTAGATAGAAATATAAAGTTATTATAAGGTCATGTACTTTATCATTCTCTTTTCTCTATTATAATATATAGAGATCTCATGAATATCCAAGAAAACTAAGAAATCATGTTTTTTTTTAATCAAAGTTTTTATCCTTTATGTAAATATCATCATTCTGATACGAATTTGATAACAAAAATTAGCAGATGCATCTTTATACAATAATGCCAGAAGAATTGAGGGTGGTAGGCTACGGCATCGGACTCAACAGCTGAACAAGAAGTTTCTCATCCTGTTCCAATTACTATCTGTCATTGATCCGTCGTATCCATCACATCAAAAGACTTTGCATCTTCCCAAATTCTCTTTGATCCCATACCACACCAATCAATGTGTGAATGTTATTATTAGGTGAACAATATTTGACTTGATTTTATGTATAATGTGATTTATCATGCCTTGGCGTTAAAACACGAAAAGCACAATTACTCAACAATTATAACACAGATATCTTATAATCTTTCAATGCACACTATCGATTAAATTAAATTTGACACAATTTCTTCTCGATATACATTATCTTGAACTGAACTTTATCATCTTACTCTGGTATTTATACGTCATTTTTCCAAGTATAATACATTTTCTATCAGAATTATGATATTACAAAAATATTATAGATTCTTGGATTAATACGAATTATATCTCTTTTAATAAAATATTATCGTTTTACATGGGCACTTAGATATGAATAAAATATACAGTATGTTTAACCTATCACATGAACTAAAAAATTTATTTTTTGATTTCATAAATTGTTTGTTTTTTTTTTTTTTAAATACTTGATAATATTTAAAATTCTTTCAATCTATTATATTTACTAATTTAATTACTTTTCTAATTTGAATTTGTTTTTTTTTTGTAGCAACAAGATTTTTTTTGAAATGAAATATAATACTGTATATTAGTTATCTAACCTCACTTATTTTTAAAATTTTCTTATTTGTTAAAAGTATATACAATATAATATATATTAATGTGTTACTGTATAATAATAAGACAAATCTTTTGAAATCAAGTCCATATTTGATTCTAATAAAAAGGTAGTTGAAAATCCATGCATAACAGGACTTTTTCTTTTCCTTAATAAAGATGTTTGTCCCAGGCATCTTAAAAACATCAATATGCTTGGTATTGGTCTATTTTCACAAGATAATGCTTCTCAATCCATAGGTCTGCTGCATCTTTTTCGTGTGTAGATAAGGTATGAAAATGGATGGACAGAAGTGAATGCCATGGCCTTTAATTGTGAAACGTATTTATATCTACAGCAGTTGATTTTTCTGACCAATCAAGTTATACAATATTTATATCATATCAGAAAGATTTTTTGAAAACAAATCACCTCTTATCATGGCTTCTTCGTGGACGTTGGAAGGACTTGAGGTGATTAATAACGAAAAATTGATTTTATTTTTTTACGGACTCTATCAACAAACCAACTCTTATCATTTTTTAGGAACGAATTAAGGCACATAGTAACTATATCGATGCGGTTACAAGTTTGATACCTCCTAAACCATATTTTAAAAACGACGTAGGTCTAGAAAATTGCCAGTCTCATGATTTATTCGATTAACTTGCATATAACCTAATTAAAAACAGCCGAACAAGCCCGAAGAGGAAGATGAACAGACTTATCAAAACAGGAAAAAGAGAATTTCAATGCAATTACTTGAAGAACAAAAAAAAGACGCAAAGAGACTAAAGGTTTTACTTTAAATTCTTACTTTTGGACAACATATAGTTATAGTAATATATATAATCTTGTTAATATATCCATCAAGTTTGATCCTGACAATCTAAAAACAATAACTGATATCCAACGGGAACAATTGAACAAAAACAAGGAAAAAATGAAAGAATCAGTTATGGACGGTGCATCATCAAATTCAGGAAAGGAGGGCAAATTAGAAGATGGTATGAATAAACCGATAATTTCCACATAAAGAAAATAACACATTCGTCATCATTATTTAAAATTAAATTTACATAGGTGATTCTTCGCAATCACGTTTGCCGATTACTGACAGGCTTGCTCGATTGCGCTTTGCGAAACAAACAAGTGAGTCTGATGCTGCAAAAAAGATTACTCGAAAGGAAAAGAACCGAATAAGGGTGGAGAAAAAAAAAAAAAAGCAGTTAGCTATTAAGAAGAATCTAAAAAAACCGAAGGATTATGGTGGAAAAATATTATTGAATGTTAAATCTACGGAGCAAGATGATGTCCAAGAGCAAGATCCAAATAATGCAGAGAGAAATATGCGATTTGTGAAGTTTGATTTTGAAGAAAAAAAACAAAAAAAGAATATTAATGATGTTCATCTCATGAATAAAGTATGTGGATTCTTCATTATTTTTTATTTATTTATTTTCGTATTCAATTCAAGAATTTATATCTTTTTTATAAGCTTCAAAATCGCGCGGAAAAGATTGAGAAGTTGAAGAAAGTGGAACCGGAGAAGGTAATGCTTAAAGGGCTGAAGATGTTGACTTTCTTTTAGATGACTTAAGTGCTCTATCGAAAATTAGGCGGCACAAATACACGAAAAAGAGGAGTGGTCAAAAGCACTGCAAAAGGTGCAAGGTGAAAAAATTAAGGATGATCCGAAATTACTGAAGAAAACAATCAAGAAAAACGCAAATAAAAAGAAAAGCAGTGAAAAGGCTTGGTATATTGCATTTTTTAATTGCACTTTCAAATTTCCAAGAATTGAGCTTTAATGGAATGTCATTGTTAACTTTCATTCAGGAAAGAGCGAGTTCAGACAGTCAAAAATAAGATGCAAGAAAGACAAGAGATAAGAACAAAGAATATTCAAGAAAGGATTAACGCGAAAAAAAATAAGGTTCTACTTTTTGCTATTATTATTTTTTTTCTTTTCATTTGTAGTTATACTTAACAGATTTTCTTACACAGAAAAAGAAGGTCCGGGGTAAATGACAACAACTTGTACATGTATACGTTTTACCACATGTCTGTGCACAAATTTACAAGAAATAAAATTAAGTAACTGCGAAAAAGTAATATAGGGAAATTTAAGAAAATTTATGAGCGACGGCAATATAAAGTAAATCACAATCACATTGAAGTTTTACTTTGTTGATTAGATAGAAATTACTTGTCATCAAATACCGCAAAATTGGATTATTTAATATACAGTACATTATTATGTAAAAGCTAAATACAACACTGATTCTTTAATTGATGAATAGGTAGGTTTTGATCAGAGGTTCCATCCTATTACACTAAAGTTCTTGAGATTTACTTGTGGTAAAGAATGTAAAATATTTTTCTTGATTAAAATTATAAATGAAAATTTTTGAAAAAATAAGTGCAATAAGGAAAAGGATTTTTTTTTAATTATTGATTTTTTAAATTATAAATTCAATATTTTGTATTTATGAATTTATATATGATTCTTGAATTTTTAATACCAAAATTATTATACTATCCATATAATTTAACTATTTATCAAATATCTTATTACAGGAAAAAAATTTTATTAAGCCATTACTATATAATATTAATTATTTTAAACTTGTTAAATCCTAACTCTCTAAATATAATTATAAGAAATAATAAATTTGTTTCTTTTCAAAATCAAATTTTAAAATTTAATTTTAAAAAATTTAAATCAATTTATATTTAAATAGATATTTTAATATACTAAGAAATAAAAAAAAAAAGTTTGTATTAATAAATAAAAACTTTTTTAAATAAATTTCCAATTTAATTATTTATAATTAAAAATTTTATTTATTTTATTGCTAATCCAGAATATTTTAAAATATATTTCTAATGAAATTTATTTATTTAGATAGATTTATATAGATTATTTAGTAATATAAGAATTTATAACTTAAATATTTTTTTAAAATAATTAAAAACATCAAATTAATAATATTATCAAATTTATTATTATATAAGATAAATTATATAAAAATTATATATCTTGTTTATATTTCTTGTTATATAATAATTAAAATTGTAAAAAATATTGGTTTAATACTATTTTAGTATTAATTTCAATCAATTATTATTTGAAAGTTTTAACATAATTAAAACTTGAAAATAGTAATTATTATATTGATTTTTCAAATAGATTTTTTAATTATACATATTTAGCTTAAATTTTTATATTTTTTATCAATTTTCAAAATTATATTGTAAATATATACAGTATATATATAATAACTTTAAAAAATAATATAAATATTAATTTTTTTTTTAATTATTTATAAAAATTTTAATATATAATAAATAAAAAAACATTAAAA